TCTCACCCACCACACCTCTGGCCTGTACCCCAGTTCTGAAAGCATTAATAATAAATAAATCTTCAAAAAATAAAATAGCAGTGTTAAGTATGGAACATGATGCTGTTGCTACAATGTTGGCTCTTCTCCCAGTAAAATTCCATTTTTGAATTCCACAAGTTAGGTTATTAGGCCATGTGAACATGGAAGCAAGAGTCTATAACTATTCTGGTGATCTTTATTAATAAAGAAATTTGCAATAGAAATCAGGATTATCCAGGACATTATACATTATCTCCAGATCTGTAGAGCTAAAAGAATTGAACTATATTTACAGAATTCATAATTACTTATTTACCGCTGGAACATCCAGTTTGAAATACACAGTAGTTCTCACAAAACACAGCATTTGGTTATTGTAAGCTTGTGGCATTTAAAGTCTCTCCAAAAAAATAGAAAGATTTTCAGGAACAGGTGAACCTAAGCATAAAATAAATTACTACCCAAATATGACAAGACAAGAATTATAAGAGCCTAGAGAGTTAAAGCACTCTGTACTGTGACATTCTACCCTTCAGTTATTATTAAAACTAGCTTAAATAACTGTTGAATACAGTATTGAAGGGATAATGCTATAAAAAGCATAACACACTGTAAAAACATAACATGTATGTTGCTTGACAATTAGTTAAGGTGTACCCTGGATATTTTTGCCAGGGTAAAGATCAGCTTATGTGGCACAGTGGAATCAGGGACCTTTATTCACAAGCATACATCCAATTCAAGCTACTATATACTTAATACGATGTTTACATAAACTGTCTATTGGGACATTAGAAAAAGCCTTTTCCTAGATTAGTGGCTCTCAACTTTGTAATACTTTGCCCCCAGGGGGGCCATGTGGCACTCTCTGGAGACATTTTCAGTTGTCGTGACTTGGGAAGAGCTTCTGGTTAGGGATTCTGCTAAATGTACTCCGCCGCACAAGACAACTCCCAACAAAGAATTCAGTTCCAAATGTTCATACTGCTAATGCTGAGAAACTGTTTTAAAAGCAGAATATGCTAGTGGTGTTCTTCAGAACCAGATTTCAATAAGCTTGGGAGAATGTTGATGTGAAAACTAGCAACATTTGACGCAGCCACTATTCCCTCCTTTTTGGCCTCTGCTTAGCCAATGTCTCTTTTACCCAATGTCCTACTTCCACATTCTCCCACTATCTAATTAGCTCTTAGCCAAGTACATTTAGAATCATATCCATTCTTTACAACTACTCTCCTAAGCTTGCAAGCTCAAAAGGCGGGCAAATAATATTGAGAAGAGTGAAGGTAGGTTTCTAAAGAATAACTGGAAAACACGCACACATCACATCTCTCAGCCACAATGTTTCTCTCTCTCTTCTCCCCATTTTGATTTATTTGGAGAATGTGAGGAGACCCATTGCCTGATACCAAGACAAAGGAAGGAGATGGGAATGGGAAAACTACAGAACAGCCTGAATTCATGCACAGTAATAGGATACTGAACTCAGAGGAGAATGGGAACATGGAGTAGATTAAAACAACTTGGTTAAGAATAACATTTTGGAAATTTGCTAAATTTCTCACATACTCTCAATAAAGCTTAGCAGATCCCAAAGCCAAAAAAAAAAAAATTTAAAAAAATGTATCTGTGTATAAGTTTTACAATGTAAATTAAAGATACACATAGTCAGCTGACTGACACCTTTGGTTTACAATGTAAATTAAAGTTATACATTGCTGCCTCATGCTCCCTTGACTAGTATTAAAGGAGAAAACCCAGTTATTTAATGTATAATTATTTAATTATACATTAAATAATTCTCTCCCTATAAGGCAACCCTAATTTTATAACATACAATGCACTACATTTTATGTCCTTATTAGAATTAAATCTGTAAAGAGAATGTAAAGAACAAAAACAAGATAAAAGAAAAAAGGGCACTGGCTGTGCAGGTTAAAGCAGATACAGCCAACACTTTCTGAAACAAACTGCACTCTTCTTTAAAATAACTAATCTATTCACTTTATTTTTTCCCCTATAGTTAAAGACAAAAACTGGTGACAGTTTAAAAACGCCTAATTCTAAGTAGTTTAAGTAAGGATAAAGTGGCTAAAATTAAAGACAATCAAGATACTTAAAAGAAAAAAAATGTGCTGAACACATATTACAGGCATATATCCTGTAATCATCAAAAAGCTTCAGAGATTATAAATTTAACTTAGCATTGGAAAAGAACCCACATATGATATCTATCACATACATAATATATTACACACAAACAGTTATTTATCACATATATATGTTACTTCCTATTTAGAACTTTCTCTTCCTTGTCTATAAACTTGGTTTAATCTCCTGTCTTTTTGGATCCTGGATAGTGTAGCCCCCACAGAGATACAATTTTAAAACTGCCCTATATGAGCTGACATCTGCAACTCTTTGATCTTTCCTCCTGTAACTCTGCCAACACTAGCCTCCTTCTTGTTCTTTGACCATGACAAGAATCTCTAACCGAATCTCTAACCGCAAGGCTTTTGCATTTCTGGTTCCCTCTGCTTGGACCACTGCTTTTCTCCTACGAAGTCATCTAGTTTGCTCCCTTACCAGCAGGTCTTTGATCACTCATGCCATCTCATCAAAGCCTTCCCTTATCAATCAATATAAAACAGCAACTCACAGCCACCTCTATCCTCTTAAGTTTTATTTTTCTCCACAGTACTTATTGTATGACACTATATTTTTATTTGACTGTTTTCTGTATCTCTACACTAAAAGGGAGGTGCCATTTTTATCCTGTCCAATGTTATATTTAAAGTAGTTAGGACAGGGTCTGGCAGAATTAAATACTTGAATAAATGATTACATCTAGACAAGCATATGGAAAGGCAAACAGTCTTCTAGTGTAAGAGCTGACAATAATCCAGAAATGCTCAAATACATCTACTTAATTTCAACTGTTTTTATTTTAGAACCACTTAAATATTTAAGCTAACTTTTTTTTGATTAAGATACTTAACAATATAAAACATTTATAGTAACATTAACTATATGTAACAAAAACCTTTCTTAAAATTTAAGTTTCTAATATTTCTGACTTTAAAAAATTTAGCAACTGCTTAACAGGAAAACATCTATATTTGATTCAGATCACTGTGTATGTTAACCTGAGCTGATCACTACAAAACTGGGGTAGTTCACAAAAGTTCCAGATTAAGAGTACCATCAAAGAGGAACTATAAACTGCTCCTCCAATACTAGGTTATTGACCAGAGTAAACAACATTAATTAAATCATTTTTTCTTTCTTTATTTTTATTTTACAACCCAGATATTATCATTACTTCCATAACCATCTAGTAAGGTTTGAAAAGATGAAATAAGCAAGGCAAGAATACAGAGTAAATGGTAGGGTTCAGCTCTGAAGACAGCCATGCTCATCATTATACTCCCAACACATACACCACAGTTCAGCGCTGAAATAAAATTCTGATCCCCAAATCTGGACTCTTGTACTACATTCTTTTCAAGGAACAATACACTAAAATATTAACAAGAGAAATTATTCTGGGGGATTTTCCCTTTTTTCTGTGGGTGCAATTTTTGTAATGTAAGCACCTTTTTCTAACTAACAAAATAGTCTTGGTTTTTATGAGGCAACTGCTCCGGATTTCAATAAGTACAGCCATTCAAATGGGCACGGGAACCTTTCGTCTAAATCACTAAGCACTCTCCAGTTAGTTTTCCAGCCCTTTTGTCCAAGGAAACACGTTTACAGCCAGATCAAAATCTAACACTAATGCATATATATTAGTGACTTCTTGTGTATGGACAAGTAACAGTATTTTTCCCCTGCAGCTTGAAAGAAGGCAAATCAAAGGATGACCAGTACAGAACCAGTTCAGGTTGCAAATCATCGGATCACAGTCAAGTTTGTATCCGTTTTCTTCAACAGTCTTTCAAACGCTATTTTCAAGTGCAGGGTGGGCTCAGAAGGCGGCACTCGGAGTGAGTGGGGTCCTATAGCACGCCCTAAGAGACGGGCGCCCCACACAGGTGTACCACCTCGCTAGCGGTGCTAACCATCAGCGCTCACGTGAGTCCTCAGAGAGAAGGGACCTATCCAGGGAGCCCGCCAGGCCTCCTCCTGGCAAACGACACAAGAACGTAAGGCTGGAGAAAGCAGTGGCTTTCCAGCATTGCCCGCCCACATTCCCATTGTGCACCCTCTTTCCCTGGCTCCCGGACGCTCCCAGGAGACAAGGGTTTCCCTTCCTTCTCTCGAGACCCAAAGATGAAGGAAGCCAAACCACGGCCTCCACCAAGACGTGGGCTCGACGAGCCGGCGAAGGCATTTACCATCGTTCTCGTCGCTGTGCCGCCGCCGAGACATGCCGCAGGCCCGGGCGCTGCCCAGAGGGGACGCTGGGCAGGAAGCGCAGCAGGAACCGTCGGGCCGCCGGTCGGCGCGGACAGGGGGGAGGCGCGCGGAGCGGCCGGCGCACACGCTCGCGATGGCTCCCGGAAGCGCGAGGCGGAGAAACTGTCGGGCGTGCTCGGCGGGCTCGGACCAGTAGGCTCACCAGGCCGCCGGGGTGAGGTTCGCACGCAAACACCCCTTCGGCTTCCTCCGCCTCTCCGTGGCTTCCTTCTCCCGCCTTTCGCGCCAAGTCCTTCCGGGGCCACGCGGGAAGCGTCGGCTCTTCCCCCAGCCAGCGCCCTCTAGCCGCAGGCACGCCGGGAGGCGGGTGGTCCAGGCGGGACGCTCTAGCTTCCGCCTCAGCTTCGGACTCCCCCCCGGGGTCTCACAGTGGTTTTCCCGGCGGCCCTTTCGCTAACGGCCGCGACCACTTCCGGAGCGAGGTGACGTCCCGCGCCTTCCTTTCTACGTAAACCCGCGGCCGGGGGCTGCGCGTTCCCGGGCAGTGACAATTGCTCGTCAGAGACGGTTCAGTGAGGATTTCTGAAAGGATCAGGACTGGTGGGTACGTGCTCATTGCCCTCCCACTCCCGGGTCTTTGTCTTCTCGGGCAAGCTGGAGAAGGCATTGGGCCGGGCTGTGTACGGGAGCGGTGCCCCGGTGGGAGCGCCCTGGCAGCGGCCGCCCTGGGGCTGCGAGATCCGCCGTTGCGTGAACCTGCTGCTTCCGAGTTACCCTCTGGCTATCATCTTTCCTCTCTCCCTCCTGAGCTGTGTAGGACAGCTGGTCATTGTTTTAGTGATGTGTAGTAGTGTTTTCAGTGATGATTGGGTACCCTTCCCTGACGATCTGATGAGCACCACACCTGCTTGTCTGCTTGTCTGACTCTCCTGCCCATGAAATCGGAAATTTCACACGTCTCAAACGGAACTCTTTTTCAGTCTCCTGCATAACCTATTCCTCCCTTAGTCATCCCCCTTTCAGGAGGTGGCACCATCCATCTGATCGCTGAATCCAGAAATGTAGGTAGGAGTCATTTTCGTTCACTTCTTACATAAAGTATCTGTAGATTCTCTGGCTCTACTTTGAAAAACAAATCCAGAATCAGACTGCACGTACTCCTTTGACAGCTCTCCAATGCCTTTCCATTGAAAATTCCATACCCTGGTTACTGGGTTTACTCTCATTACTAAAGTCACTTTTTCTTTCTTTTCCTCCATAAATCAGGCTGCTGCCCCTTTGTATTCATTCTATTTATACTTTCCTTTGCCTTTGTTTCTAAATCTGCATGGTTTCCTCCTTGTCATTTCGTGTCAGCTCAGACATCATGTCCTAGGGAAACCTTCCTTGGCCATCCAATCACTGTTTTTATTGCATTCAAGAAAATTGTGCTTATAAAATTTAGCACCTCGTATGTCTATAGTTCAGATGCTGATGATCCAAGGGGATCAAAGGAAAACCCTTGCTTTCTCAGGGCTTAGTGCTTTCAGGAATTCACTGTATTCAGGAACGGGCACACATAGTGCAGTCCGTGAGGTAGTGAGCAATCAATCAGGTAGTGAGCAATCACAGTGCAATTGGTCAGCCAGGTATAGGAGAGTTGTAGAAGATGAGATCAAGTTTTTACATGGTGGGTCAGGAATTTGGATAGGGCTCTCTGATGTGAGGGGAGGGCACTGGCTCAAAGGCTGGGGACTTGGAACCATCTGAAGGACCAGATGGTTGGTGATGCCTGTCAGCTGGAGACCTCAACTCTTGTGCATGTGGTTCTCTGTCATCACTCTGCATAGGTTGATTTGATTTACTCCCTAGTGAGCCTCCCAAAAGGACAGCTCCTGTGGAAGCATATCCTTTTCGGGACCACTCTTGGAAGTCATGTATCATTGCTTCTGCCATACTTTATTGGTTGAGGCCATTATGAGTCTGTCAGAAGAGAAGAAAGAGACCAGAAATATTGCTTTGGCAATTTGGGGGAAAGGCAGTCTGCGCAGCTATTTTTAATGTCAAATTTAAAATACAATCGAAGTGGGAATATTAATAATGTTACCATTTATTCACCCCTACTATGTGCTAAACATTTTACATATTCTGTACCAGGTGGATACTTCCAACCCCATTTTACAAGCTAGGGAATTAAAACCAGAAAAATGAAATTTCTTACCCAAGTACACTTGCTTGTATCCTACTGCCCTATAATCCAAAGTGTTGCTGTTACTTTGTCACTTGTAACATTTGCTATGAAAAAAGAATGTATTGTTTGTTATTATGTTTCCATTTGGGCAAAATTTGGCCACTGTAGCATTTTTTTATATTTCCTGTGGCTCATTAAGATGGGGCTATCTTGGTAGTTACTTATTTTAAGGAAAGGAACTTGTACAGCTTTAACATATGGGAACTAAAGGAACTAGCATACAGCTTAGTTGATTTTGTTTGTAACGGTTGCTTTTCCTTTTCTGATATCATTTATCCTAAATGTTTGTGTGTCTTACTTCCTAATTCAGTTTTCTGCTCAAATTCTACTACCCTAGAAAGGCTCTCCCTACCCTCTGTGGGTTAAAGAGCCCTCCCATCACTCTGTTTCTGTACCCTGCTTATTTGTCTTCACAGTACTTTTGCCATCTGTGTTTTGTTTGTGTGTTTGTTTTACTCATGTGTTTACCTTCTTTCTCTCCCCTCTAGAATATATAAATGCTAAGAAAACAGGCTTTTTCTGTTTCATTCTCAGCATATTCCTAGTGTCTAGGACAGTGCCTGGAATATACTAAATAAGATTTATTTAGTAGATACTAAATAAATAGCTTACTGAGAGGAAGAGTGAATGAATGGATAGAGTGGATTACTGAGCCCTTGTCATCCACTTGGTTGACTAGCTTCAAGTTTATTTCAAGTAGTAATCAAGAACTTTGTTGTTTCTCTCTAGATTACTTCCCAGGAAATAAATTGTAAAGAAGCTGCCTGTTACTGCACAAAACCAGATGCCTTCTTCCACTTCACCAAACCAAGATGACCCAGAGGGCTGTATTTTAAGATTTGCAGATCTGGATTTAAAAGACACAGCTGTTATCAAGCCTACTAGCAGTCTCAAAGCAGAGTTAGATATCATTACCAAGAAGAAATACTCATTTGAAAAGAAAAAGGTAAAATTTTTATTGATGTTGCTGGGTTATATATGTATAGTTTATTCTGATGCTTCTAGAACTAGTTCATCAAGGTTTTCTCCAGGGAGTAGAGAGCATGGCAGGGTGTGGCTCTGGAACATTGGTGGAGTACTTGAATACAGCCAGATGAACACAACACCCCTTGTGAGATAGTCTTATTAATAATAAGCTGAATCTCATCATAAGGAAACATGAAGGAAAATCAAATGAAGGGACAGCCTACAAACTAACTCATCTGTAATTTAATAAGAAGTCATAGTGATGATTCTAGAGAGAAAAATGAGAAAGTATCTTAAATTGAAGAAGATTCATGTGACATAACTAAATGCAATGCTATCTTTTTGTGGATCTATGAATGCCAGTTAGGACAACTCATAAAACAAGAATGGACCTTTGGGGAAAAGGGAATCCTCTGTATAATTGTGGCAGCTTTTCTATACGTTTAAAGTTACTAAAAATAGTATTAAAAAAAAAAACCAAACACCTTTCTATGCCCTTTATGAGATGAGAGTGGAGGAGTCATAGGTAGGAAGACCTTTACTGGCTTTAAACTTGACTGTTTAACAGAAACATATCTGAACTATAATTGCAGGCATTTGCTGTTTTTGTCAAGACCAAAGAAATTCCAGCACCTTCTTTTGAATGTAAAGAGAAACAGTGGAAATGCTGTCAGCAACTATTCATGGATCAGACCAGCATCCACAGACATGTGGCAACACAGCATGCTGATGAAATTTGCCACCAGACTGCTTCTGTTCTAAAGCAGCTGGCTGTGACCTTGAACAATCTTAAGTCTGCAGAGGAAAGGAACCCTCTAAAAGAACACCTTACTGGTTACCATGATGTAGCTCCCTGGCTCCCTGATATAAGCTGCTTTAGCCCTGGTGATCTGAAGTGGTAAGAATTTTCTTCTAGATTTTTGGTTTAATTTCAAAATTTTTTTCCAAACACATTGAGATATAACTTATCCATCCACTAAAGTGGTAGGATTCATAAGGCACACAATTTCTATGGTCTTAAGCTGACTAGATAATATAAACTGTGTATAATAAAATTCCACAGCTTGTGTATATACCCACACAGCTGACGGTGGGCTTCCTGAAAGCCATCCGGGATCTTCTCTAGAGAGAGGTAAAGCACAGAAAGTTGTACTGTTTTCAAAGAGAAATGGGAAGACCCACAAATGGTAATGATTCCTCTATCCTAGATAATGTGAGAGCTTTTAAAAAGTGTAGTTTTCAGAGCTGAATATGTTTTAGAAAGGATGGTAACTTTTAGAACTGAGACATAGTATTAGAAGCTTATTCTTACCTTTAAAAAACTCATGAAGTTATATTACAGAATTCTAGAGAATAGATTTCTGACTTTAAGTAACTTCTGATTAAAGAAGGATAGAAAATGTCCAAATTTGATAGATTTTTATTGGCTTTCTAGTTAGAGAAACAAAAGGATATAAGAAACAATTAGTAGATGACATAAGACAGGCTATACCTATAATTATCAATGAAATTGCATGGTACAAATATCTTATTAGAGAAGTTTAGCGAAAGGAAAATAGGTAGACTCTAAAATAACAAGACTATTTTGGAGGAGAATAGATCCTTAGACATGATAAAGGTGATGAGAGAGTCAGATTCTAGAGCTGATTGGGACATCAGGGACATCAGTTGTCAACAAGAGTAATCTCTAAAATATGTTCTGTGCAGCACTAGTTGTGGAGGATGCTAAGGGGTATTGAAAGGAGGCAGGAAAGATAACACTTGGGATGTCCCAGGTTAAAATGTCCTTTGTTGCAGGACTTCTCAGGGCCTTCACCATGATTCACAAAGAAAGATAATTATGTGCAGGATTTCTCAAACATGTAATTTCATAAAACAGCTTCAGAGCACATTTTAGGTAATGTCATTTATCTTACTTCTCCAATTTTACAGAGAAAATCTAGGCTCAGAGATGATACAAGAACTATTGTAAGACAACATAGTACAGTAGAAAGAGTGTGGATTCTAAGGTCAGAAGACTGGTGTGCAAATCTTGATTCACTTTATAGTTTTCTTTCCTGGAAGGATTGACCTCTGTATTCATGTGAAGTGGGGATACTAATAAATTATTTCATGGATAAGAGGTTCCTGAAGAAATAGAAGTGAAGGCTTTTTGTACAGTAAGCGATTTGAAACAGTTGCCCCCTTGTCCTAGGGAATAAACCCAAATAGACTCAAATTTCCAGTTCTCCAGTAAAATGGGTTTATTAATATCCATCTCAGGGATATGACAATTACATGCAATTAGAGCAAACACTGTCTCTAAAGCAACTGGTAGGACCCATGGCAAGTAAGAGTTCTCCGTCTCTGATGCTGCCTTCTGAACTGTGGTTTCTTTCTACCTGTTTCTTAAATGTGCTTTTCCTCTGGTTTTCTCCTTACAGTGACCAGGGCAGTGAAGAAGGAGAGGTACTTCTTTACTACTGCTACTGTGAGCTGGAGGATCCCCACTGGGTCTGTGCCTGGCAGACAGCTCTGTGTCAGCACCTGCACCTCACGGGCAAAGTAACACCATTTCCCACACCCTGTCTTTCACTATTCTTGTTTTGCCTTACACTTGGGTTGCAAAGACTTCGCTTACTACAAAAAAGATTCACTTTTGGGTTTTTAGAAATTAACACAGTCCTGCTGGGCAAATTTTTAGTAGAATGTGTAGTTGTAGAATTTAGTAGAATATTAAATAGCTATTAACTTGGCATTTTAGAATATTTAATGGCATAGATCAGGCATCACCACGTTTTTCCTTGGAGGGCCAAATAATAAATGTTTTAGGTTTTGCACAAGAAATCACTCAAATCTGCCTTTATAACATGAAAACACTCATGGACAATATATAAAAGCATGGTATGGCTGTGTTCTAATAAAACTATTAGGCATAATTGCTGACCCCTAGCATAGGGAAATGTTTTTGATATTTTAATTGGAAAAAACATTTTATAGAACTAAACATACAGGTATGATTCCAAGTTGCTCCTTAGTTTTCCTAGAACATTCCAAGGCCTTACTTCTTATCATTTCCCTTATAAATACAAGGTGCACAAGACAGAAACTTTGTCTTAGTTAAATAATGCACTCTCGTGCTTAGGATATAGCAAAACAGTAAAGATTTGGAGAATGTTGAGTAAAGGAATGAATGTTTTTTAAGAAAACCAAAATTGTGTAAATATGAAGATTAAAAATAATTAAATGTTAATCATGATTATCTTACTATGATAAAATGGATTTTTATACTTTATTTTTCTAAAATGTTCCTAGTGACTACATACAGACACATATTTGCATGTGTGTACATTGCACATTTTTAAGCATGTATCTTATGCATGGCATGTGTGCATATGTGTATACACATAGATGTGTGTATTGCGTTGTGCTTTTAAAAATATAAATCAATAGAAGTGAGCTTGATGCCCACTGAGATTCCCCCTGGCAATGCCACTGTACGATTTCATGCCTTTCCCACAGCAAGCCCTGAGGCCATCATTTGATCGATTAGTATGGTGGTTTCTTCAAATCATGTCTGTTTCCTAACAGTGGTTGAAAGCTTCATTCACCTCATTCAGTTCATCACCTCCTGCCCTTTCTACTGCGGATGCCGCTTGACTCCATTCACTTCCTTAGCTTCTACTACTTGAGCCCAAGCTCCCTCCTTTTCTCAACTAGTCCATTTCCATAGCTTCCAAATTACCTATTCTTCCTTCCCCACTATTAATCCATTCTTCACACAGCAGTCAGAATGATCTTGAAATGTAAATAAAGTCATATCAACTCCTTCCTCAAAAATTTTCAGTGGCTATCCAGTGCATTTAAAGTAAAACCCTGGACCTTTCCTGGTAGCACAACAGGTTAAGACACAGCACTGCAAGCCAGTCACAGCCATTTCAGTTCAAGTTCGATCCCCGCGTGAAGGTGACTCACATGGCGCGACAGACCTCTCATGACCCGCCCACTGCTCCCCTCAGCAGTGTACTTCGTTGATCTGCCTGTTCTGCTCCCCACTCTGTCTCTGGTGAATCCTCTCGCCGCCCCTGCACTTCTAGTCTGTACCCCAGTTCTGTATTATAAATCTTTAAAAAAAAAAATAAAGTAAAACCCAGTTCTTAATACACTCTTAGATTCCTGTATGACTGGCCTCTTTCTACCTTTTTTGCTTATGGTGCCATTCTGCACCAATTACAGCCCAGCAAAGTGGTCTTTGGAGCCCACAGAGTTTTTTGTGTGTCTTAGGGCCTTTTTACATACAACTTCTGTTTGAGAAGCTTTCCTATGCCTACTCAGTTTTTGCTGTGTAATTTTTACTCTATTTTCAGTTCTGCCTTTTTTTTTTTTTAAGATTTATTTATTTATGCATACAAGAGCTGGGGTATAGGCCAGAGGCATGGGGTGTGGGGAGAGGATTCTCTACTTTTCCTGTTAAAGTCACTGACACACATGAGCCCATTCTGCCCTGGAAAAATTTTAATTAAGCTCAGCACAAGCTGCGTTCCCTTTGTCTCATCATCTTGTGCTTCAGGTTCGAATTGCTACAGAAGGAATTAACGGGACAGTTGGTGGAAGCAAATTAGCCACCAGACTCTATGTGGAAGTCATGCTTTCCTGCCCATTGTTTAAGGATTATCTGTGTAACAATGATTTTAAGGTAAGAGAATTGAAAATAAAGTGGATTTAGAGCTTCCTGCTTCTGCCTTTGTGCCTCTCAGGCCTCTGAGTTTTGAAGAAGAGCTCACCGAGAAATAAGTAGTGACAGGGTACAAACCCCATTGGGTTACAAGGCTGTGCAACAGGAGCATGCTTGTTTCGGTCATTCCACTAAAGTCACCATGTGATCGTGGGCAAGTTAGTGCACTCTCCAGACCTCTGTCTCCCTTTAATAGAATAAGGAAGGTACAGCTTACATATCTAACTCCTAGCTTCAGTGTGGTTGCTCCTTTGAGCGAGCATCTGGCCATTTTGGGGGATCACTGTTTGTAGTAAGTGCAGAACGAGAAGTCAGCACTGATACCGCACAAGCAAAGAAAGCTGTTGCTCTCGTGTCTGAGGTGCTTTGAGTGCTTTCTCATGACAGGTGACACACAGGTGGTGGGGAAGGTCATGCCAGTGTCATTACTGGTGATGAGAAGAAAAGAAAGGCCGTGGCTGCAGAAGCTGGGATGGGAGCTCACCTCTTGAAATTGCTCAGTGGTGTCAGTTTGTAGTTAAGTGCTTATGCTAGAGAAACACCTTTCCAGGTTAATGTTTCTGTACATGATAGGCACATACTAAGTATCTATTAATATTGAATTATGTACAAAATCCTAGATAATCCCTTTTCACATCAGAGCACATGTTCCCAATTTGACATGTCTCAAGACTTCAACCAGTACATTTTGCAAAATAGATATAATTCATACATTTGACACTTGTCTTATATGTGCAGATGGGAGAGAAAGACTATGTTGTTTTGTTTCTTATTGGCTAGACCAGCAAAGGAGGAGCTTGCTGTTTCCCAGAATTGCGTGTTGGTGTATTTGAAGAAATTGTGCCCATGGGGATCAGTCCTAATCAGATCTCCTATAAGAAACCTGGTATGCTTGCTTTAGAAGAAACATTTTGATTTTCCTCTGGACAGAGCTTAGTACAGAGACAGATATAAAGGTTAGACTTCTGATTAGCAAGAGTTGTGATGAATTTTTTCTACAGTTGCTGTGAGGTGGCTTAACTTGGTTCTTTGGTGCTGTTGAAGATAAACTCTTCCCATAGAAGGACCTGTTTTAGTAACTACTGGCAAGGAATTGTGTTCTTTCCAAAGATAGCAGTTTGGGAATTATTACTTGTAAATAGATAGCAGTATAATTATTACTTGTAAATTTCATGAACTGAATAGAAAATGCAGGGTTTTTGCTACTAGAAGCCAAGTGACTTTGAACACCAAAGCAATTTGTATGAAAATAATCTAGAATATTCTCTTCTCCATCTTCCCTATGGTTACCATAGCTAGTTTAAACATATCTGGTTTGGTGAGGATTTTGTTTTAACTTCTTATTATGAAAATTTTCAGATATTTAAAAAAAAGCAATTAGGTTTTGTTTTTTCATTTGTTCTAACAATTTTTTTGGGGGGGGGGTTGTTTTTAGGAATTCATTTATCCCCAGGTGAATTTCATAAAGAGGTAGAAAAGTTTTTGTCTCAGCAAAATCAAGAACACAGTGACACTATTCTACTGGATTGCAGAAACTTCTATGAAAGCAAAATTGTAAGAACCAGAACTAAGTTCACTGATGTAGTAGTTCGCCCCCTTCCACAGCTGCCATGTTTCCCAGGGGGGCATTGGCTGTGCTTACCTGTGGCCAAATCACAGGGATATCCTCCCACTGCTTGCAGTTTCAGAGAAAAGCCAGGCCTTTGAACTCAGAGAAAGTCTAAGAAAATACAAATCAAAACATCTTGGCACATACTGTACTATTGGCTTCCCGTGTACCTATTTTGACATGTGTTAAGGATCTTGTAAAATTGCTTTGGGCAGTCTGTTCAATTCCCCTGAGGATTCTGGGAAGGTGATCCATAGACTGCCAAACTTGTTTCTTGTTCCAGATCTTAAAGTTTAAAGTTTGGGAAGTCATTCTTGCCAGGAGGGAGTTGTATGACACAGAAAGAACCCTTATTTCTACCCAGTGTATTTTTTCTGATAGTTTTCCTTCTGCTCCTTTATTGTAGGGACGATTCCAGGGCTGCTTAGCCCCAGACATCAGAAAATTCAGTTACTTCCCTGACTATGTTGACAAAAATCTAGAACTTTTCAGAGAGAAGAGGGTACTAATGTATTGCACTGGGGGCATTCGTTGTGAACGGGGTTCAGCCTACCTCAAAGCCAAGGTAAGTCACCACTGCTGGGGACATAGCAGGCATGGAGGCTAAGAGCCTTAACCAACGGCTTGTGTGGAAGCCCGCACCCCCTTCACCGCCTCTCCAGCCAGTCAGGAATTTATTTCCCCTTGGATGGTTCCATCATAGAATTTTATAAGTACAAGACCAGATGTTTTTAAATCTCAAGATGTGAGAAGCACTTAATAGTCTTAGAGACTCATCAAGTACAAAGGGGAAAGATTAGTTAACATCTCCCTTTCCCTAATCCTTTTGCTTAATCCTGACAAGCGCAAATTCAGTAACATGACATGTCCCAACAGCGGGTGTTGTCCTATATTTAGGGGGTGGCAAAAATAGATGGGCCCTGACTGCTGTCATCACCCATGCCCTTAGTAGGTAAGAGCTGGCCAGTTGGTTCCTTGACCCCCCGGTCAGCAGTTCCTCAGTGTCCCACAGATGGAGCCGGAGCTCCTCTTCCACATTCCTCACACACCACACTCCTCTGTGAAGTTTCTTACCAGCCTCTGCTTGTTGCCTGACATATCCTATTGTGTTTCTACACTCAGGGTGTGTGCAAGGAAGTGTTCCAGCTCAAGGGTGGCATCCACAAGTACCTGGAAGAGTTTCCTGATGGTTTTTACAAAGGGAAGCTGTTTGTTTTTGATGACCGTTATGCCTTGTCCTACAACAGTGAGGTAGTGTCAGGTAAGCCGGCACAGGCCCACAACCTAAATTCTCGGTATTAACTATTCTGGAAGCCCGGTCAATACTGATTACTTGAAGAAAGACCAGGGGAAAGGAGCATAGAGAACCAGCATCCCCAGCAGAGGAGAGGAAAGCAGCTGGGCTCTTGGCTTCGCTGTTTTCTGCTGGGCAAGTCATTCAAAATGGGGGTGTCCTCCCTTGCTGTGTCTGCCTGCACGGTACTGATTATTAGGGGATCTGGGAATTGGGATGGGAAAATAATCCTGTCTTTATTTTCATAACCCCCACCGAATGCAGCACTTCCTGTAACAATTAATGTAGTAGCAAATCAGGAGTATTAGATGTGTCTAAATTACAATTGCTACAGATATCTCAAATTAGCATTTATGTTCACCATGGCCTCGAAATGGGAGTAGTTATTAGGGCCATCACTACATCTTGTTATTTAATATAATAAATATTTGACCATGTTGCAGTTTTTTAAAACATTTGGTATTTAATATTTTCATATAATTGTTATCCTTCACCTTTCATGTCTTCAAAAAAACATTTTTCCAGGAAGGGTCTGCATTGTTGACCAGACTCCACGTAAATTGATGCACAGAAAAATAAGCACGTTTGGGTGGTGTGTGGACATGTGAGGTACAGGTGGGCATTCAAGGCAGCCCCCAAACCCAGAGTGAAGGACAGAGCAGGGTGGCCAGAGGAAGCCTGGTGTGATAGTGTGGAGCTCACAGTAGCATTTTGTACCAGCTGAGGGCAGTCCATAAAGCAGAATGGCTGTCACATTACTAAAAGTGGCCATGTCCTGTATGGTACAGCTGGAACCAGAAGTCATAGGGAGACAGCTGCAGGGGATGTTGCCTCTGGTCGCCTGTACCCAGGGGCTGAGATGGAATGTATAAGCTTTGAATCTGTCTTCTCCTTTTTTTTTTTTTTTCCCAGTGCCTTTATTTGAAGGGTCTTGTGTATGCATTTCTTATTGAAGGCTACTTCAGGCCTGCTTTGGAATTAGATGGAGTATAAATTGCAAATAAGCAGAAAGAGTGGATTTGAGAAATTTTACTGCAGAAATAATGGCGAGACTTGATGGGTGCCCGCAGTGAGTGTGACAGGGAGGAAGAAGTGCCAAAGGTAGCTTAGCTGATCTAGGTGAGGAGACTGAAGGACCTCCAACAGCTACAGACAGTCAGCAGAGGGGGAGCAGGCTAAGAAAGTAGACAGTTTTGGAAGCAGTCAGGTGTGCCCTGGCAAGACAGCAGGAGGAATTCTGAGCTGGGGAAGATGTGGACTACAGAAGGTGAATGTGGATGTGAGGTCATCTGTATTCAGGTAGGTTGTCTCCCACTGAAAAAATTGAATGACCTCAAGGCCGAAGACCATTGAGCAAGAGGTGGTTGGCCAGCTATGGAGTAGGTAACGAGAGGCAACGTTATTGCCTGTTTTCTATATGAGACAACAAAACCAGTGATGCTGAAATCAGGGAGACATATCCCAGAAACACCCTTGTCCCAAAAAGTTTTTTTGGGGGGGAACATTTTTTGTTAGAAGACAAGAGATTTGGTATTAGAAATCTTCCCCACACCCTACAGGATACATTAGGTTCTGATGAACTAATAGTTATATTTAGGGACTGCAGTGCCCGTGTGTGTGTGTGTTTATAATGAGGGTTTCTTTCTTTCCCAGGATGTTCATACTGCCGGGCCCCATGGGACCAGTATAAACTCTGCTCTACTGCCCAGTGCCGCCAGCTCGTCTTGAGCTGCACTGCCTGCCAAGAGCAGGGATTCACAGCCTGTTGTGTCACGTGTCAAGACAAAGGGTGCAGGCCGACTTCGGGCTTTAAAGAGGAATGTGAGTGCACAGCCCGACGACCGCGCATTCCCAGTGAACTTTCTCAGCAGACACGGTGCCCTGTGAGCCCGGAGGGTGGCCCTCACTTCCATGAGAAGCACCATCAGCATTTGCCCAAGCTCTCACAGAGCTAGGTGTGGGTCATCTTGTACAGGAGAATAACACTTGTGCGGCAACAGAGGAGTGGGCGCTTTGGTGCTAGCTGAGGCCACTGTGGCAAACTTGTCACAAGATTGAATCCCTGTCTGCCCAGAAGGAGACAAGTAGGAGTGGGTGATGACCACTTACTTGAGACGTTCTGACTGCAGATGCCAGAGCACAGAAACGTGAGCTGTGCAGGATCCTGAAGCTAGTGCGGGAGAGAGCCTGATGCTGGGTTATGCTTGTTCCGTGCCATGCAGCAGGACTGGTAGCGGGCACTGTTCTTGTCAGCAAACCTGTCTGTCCTGGTGGGTAGCTGTGTGAATAAAGTGTGGAAACTGTGGGCCTGGAAGTAGTTTCCTCTAAACCAGGCCCTTAGGTCATCTGCCTCCATCCTTGCCCTCTACTCTCCTCTGCCAACTTTGCAAATTTGAGACCAGGATTTGCCAACAATAGCATCTGGCCTGCCTCCTTAAACAAATTGTATTGCAGTAGCCACACCCATTTACATATGCTGTGGCGGAACTGAGTAACTACAACAGAGGCCTTATGGCCTGCAAAGACTAAGATATTTACATTTTGCTTTTTACAGAAAAATGATGCCTCTGGTCTAAGCCAATACCCACATTCTTAGCTTTGAGGTATTGTCCTCAAGAGATTCAGATAGCTCAAGGACACCAACGTGTCACAGTGGTTGTTGTAGATAAGCACCTTGGAATACAAGACGTACTCTGACGAGCCCCCTCAGCACTGCCGTGGTGGTCATCACAGACGTGTCCATGTCGCACAGGGCCCAAGAAACATACACAGCCATCCATAGACCAACAGATTTAATATTCGATTGCCATTTCCAGTGATGCAGAATACAGCTGCAGTTGTGTTTCAAGGCGAAGCCAAGTGGAGACGGCTGTCCATCGGCAGCCCCCGTAGATGCTCTCCCACGGTGGTGAGGTGCTGGCTCCACCTCTGTTACCCTGTACCGTCCACGTCATTGCATTTCGGTGTGCAAGACTTCCCTTGTCATTACGAGCCTTTCTGCTCGGTGCTCTGCAGCTCAGTCCATGCTCAACAACGCTCTGGCCTGTCCTTTATCAAAAGATTTGCTGAATCACTCCTGAAAATAACTCTCCAAGCAACAAAAATACTAGCTTGACTGGCACTGTGGTATATGAAAGGCACAAGGGCATAGTGGCTTAGCATTATTAATGGATCCCAAGAGACGCGAGTAATAGTAAAAGAGGGATCTGGCAGAAATAACAAAATGACATTTTTAGAATAATCATCTTGTGATGGTTTGGCCAGGATTTCCAAATAGTTGATCTCTGGATTTTCTTCATTGTTGGCCATCAGAGGCCTAGTTCAAGGCATATGATCAGCAGTGACTTTTCTAAGAATAAGTGAGGTGATAGGTAGCTGGAGTCTGTACACATAGCCATGTGGAGTAGAAATTTATTCCTCTCGTGTGTTATACCTCACAAACCATTGGCCCACCTTTCAGCCCAGGAAGGTACTTGAACGTAGGTTTTCACATCATACAATTGGCATTTGGAAAAAAATTCTGAGTCCAATATAAAGTTGTAAGTCCCAGAGGTCTATAAAGATCAATCAGGGAAATGTTTGTATCCCAGGACGTAAAGGACAGTGCCTGAAACTTGAAATTTCACCACTGACTTTTTCTGTCATTTCCTTATATCCCACAAAAGGACCTGTGCTTTTTGAAGCCTGACAGAGCCCTGTGACTTTGTCTCTTTGTCCCTTTCTTGAGGGGCAAATTGTGTACTTGATTCATTAGTCAATTTGGCAACTTTAATCTTGTGAGGTTCTTAAAATTTAAACTTTTAATAAAGAGTGACTGCTAATTTGCAGATCTCAAATTTGTAACAGTGTTTTATAATATTCCTAAAGCATGTGAAAGTGTTGCTTATGTGTTGCACTTTTTAAATGCACCTGAAACCACACAGCAAGGCCACTGAAACAACTGTGGGATTAAGTCACTGCTACTGTAACATCACCTTCAGTAAAATCTGCCGGTTGGGTAAATTCTTAGTTTATAAATAATAATTAGACTGAACTGCTGTGACTAAAGAAAAACTTCACATTAACCATAGTTTATAAAATTTTCAACTACAACCACTAGTCAACCTAAAACCTTAGTGCATAAAGAACTGAACCACAAAAGGGCTTTGTGCCGGCATTTTGCCTTCTGGTGTCCACTGCAGAGCACAGATTCTCAGTAGAACATGTCCAGTTCAAAGGCGTGGTCGTCACCACACACTAGACGCCACTCCGGCACCTGGGAATGATGGGCCCAGTCAAGTCTGCAAGTCTTCTCTTCCTCACTGAAAAGGAACAGAGAGAGGTCAGCACTGCGGCTCTGGGACAGTGCTGTGAGGCCTCACTAACTCCTTGGTTAGCAAATTCTGAAGTGTGTTGCCAACAGACAACGTTCTGAATAATCTGTCAACATTCACTGGTGAGGGTCTGGTGGTATGGGTTCGTTCATAAATTCTAAATAGCCGTCCACACAGGCACAAAACCACTGTTTGTGCCACACAGGTACAATTCCACTGTTCCCCTCTAGGGCTCTGAGGCCTGCAGTTGAAGAGCTTTTACTCCAGTTCAGATGTGGGTTTAGTTCACTGGATCTTCTTAATGAGTCTGGGATCTCAATCTCCTGGAAACATTTCCCCCAGCTCTTCCCAGCCTGCCTCCCACCAATGTAATCAACAGCTTCCACCCTGAATTAGACCCTGCAGTACCATGTCCCCTTTATGGTTAACCTTGACATTTTCCCAGGGTAAAACAACAGAAGCTCAGACACTTCACATTACAAAGGAGTTAACTGCCATAAAGAGGGATGCACTTGCCAGGAAGTAGTAGGCTGCCACCAGATCGAAGCATACAAGCTGCAAGAAGAACCGAATCAACTTGTGCATGACAGCAAATACAGAACTACCCAGGAAGATGGGCTAGAGCTGGGAGCTGACTGGGAGGGGCAGGGGGGCACCCAGGCTCACCAGTCTGGGGCTGAGAGGGATCCTATGCCTGAGTCTGACCCACCCCTCCAACCTTGGTCAAAAATACACTGAATGCTTACTGGTGACCAGTAAGCTGGACTCATTAGCAGAATGACTGTATGATATATGCTGGGGATTTGGGGGGTGGCAGTAAAGGGGGGCCTGTTTGTTGTAACAAGGGGCAAGGGAGAGTTTTGAAATGAATCCCGAGGAGACTAAGCAGCTAGTTAAATTAGCCTCAAGAGAAAGTTCAAGGAAGTGTGCAGTAGGTGGCAGTCGAGGGGCCTGCTGGTGTGGCAGACAGGAAGCTATTGCCAGAGGGGAAAAGTGTGTCTATACTTAGATATCTTCCAGTTTCCAGCTGAGCCAGTAGGTCTGCAGCCACCAGATCGAAGCATACAAGCTGCAAGAAGAACCGAATCAACTTGTGCATGACAGCAAATACAGAACTACCCAGGAAGATGGGCTAGAGCTGGGAGCTGACCGGGAGGGGCAGGGGGGCACCCAGGCTCACCAGCCGGGGCCGAAAAGGAACCCAAGCCCGAAGTCCGAACCAACCCCCCAAACCAAAGCAAAAAAAAAACGAAAGCCTAACGGTGACCAGTATCCTGGAGAAAAGACCGTGTGTCTAGCCTGATTCCAGGAGAGTATCAGAATGCCTGGCAACTTAGAGGCGAGTGTGGGGAAACAAAACCTAAAGAGCAGAAGTAACCAGAGATTTCACATGAACCAGACGCTGAAGCAATTCTACATTAGCTGTGCCAGTCTGCCCAGCAGGGGGAAACTCCTCACTACACCCCCTTTATACTGAAGATGCCATTGGAGCTCCCCAAAGGATTCTGGAATGTCAGTAGTTAAAACTCCCATGTTATGGACGAGGAAAATAATGGCAGAGAAGGCGTGTTACTTGGGCAGTCATTGAGCTTTCATCAAGCCCTGTGTTTCCTCTTGTGCTTAGTCCAGCACCTCCCTCAGGACAACCTGGCCTCATCCATGTCAGGCTTGCATAGCCACATCTCATCTGATGCTCACAAGGAAAGCCAGCTCCTTTTCCCTAGAGAAGCAAGCAGGGCAAAGGCCCCTGGGAGCTACAGGCAGAGCCCAGACGGGAATACGAGTCCCCAGCCACGGCTGCGGGTGGAGAAAACGATGGACCCCAGGTTTCTCTTCCCTGTGTGACCTCATGGGGCTGCATCTGAGCGGAGCTCTTCTGGCATGGCTTTTACAGGGACTTTATGAGAATAGGGGGAAAGCACCTACTGACGCAGGTGTTATTTTCCTACATACTAATGAAGGAAATTGAGGTCAAGAGAGTGCAGTAGCCTGCAGGCCCCTCCTCTTTGCTTGTCATTGAAATGGTCAGTGACTCCTTATTGCCAGGGGCTCCTCTGGCTTATTGTCAGAGCCAGAGGGGATTGAGCGTCATCTGGAGCAACCTCAGCTGCTGCGACTCCCTCTCCCACTTCCCACCAAGCTCCAACACCTTTATCATATCTCTGGGGACTATTCTGTATTCATTTGTGTCTTTCACGGCATTTACTGAGTGCTACTGTGTACCAAGCACAAAAATCAGAAATAAAGATAGAGCTTAGCAGAGGACCAACGCATACCAACACTACATTTGATTAAACATTGCAGGTGCCAGGTGGACCTCCATTTATCATGTGAGGTCAAGTGGTCAGATGATGTGGTCAGATCTTCTAAAAGTGAGAATGTAATGTGTCTGCTGAGTCTTCAAAGAATAAAAGGGTTGACAGTGGGAAAGCAGAGGGAACACAGGAGACATGGCTCTTTAAAGAGATGCTTTTGCCTGGGGTGACTGGGAAGCACCCAAATTAGCTGGGCTGTTAGTACAAATACACAAGGCAGAGAATAGGTTGCTGGGCTGTCACAAGAGGAGTCTGGCAGTGCCTCACCAAGAGAGGAAGTGGAGAGTGCCAGTTCCAATCTTATTCACCGATGGAGGCTAACCTTCCCTACTCCCCTCCTGTCGGAAGGGGACAATAATGTCGACACCTAGCCAGTTCCAGGAGCTTTGCATGAGCTGGTAGGCTGGCAAGCATTTAGAACAGTGCCTACCCGCAGTAGGCACCATGCAAGTACCAGCTACCACTACTAAGGAACTTAGAAGCCATGGCAAGGAGCTGAAGTCGGGAGCAGGGACAGCTGGGAGGGGTTCTGAGCAGGACGGTAGGACAAGCTCTGGGATGAGCCTCCTGGGTGGGGCCTTCAAGAGGAAGGGTGTGAGCAAGTCCAAGCATTCCAGGTGCATGTGCTGAGGGCTTGACTGATGGCCTAGGTGACGGGCTGGAAAGCAGCATACAGGCAAGGCCCAGATTTCTAGGTTGGATGGCTAGGAGGAAAAGAATACCCTTACCTGACATGGCTTTGGGAAAGGATGATGAAACTGATTTAGTGTGCACTGTATTGGGGGTGCTTACTAGAAAGATCTTCCTTGAGACTACAGTGAAAGTGATTTCCCCAGTAGGAAAGAGTTTGCTTTAAAGGTGTTCCTCTTCCCTACCAAGTACACTTGGAAGCTACATTTCAGACTTCATTAGAGCTCTAGCAGCAGGTTGACAGGACCCGAGAGCCGTGCTTAGCTCAGCTTTCAGCTATAAATAGTGTGCAGAGAGGAGCATCTGAGGTATCGCTTTGGGGAAAATAAGTGGGAATCCTCAGTGCTTCCTGACACCCTACACCCTTGGGGTGCTACTCTTGCCCTCGAAACACATTGGGTCCATAAGGACCAGGATGAGTGCTCAGCACGCCACCTGTCTGCAGAGGCACTGGCTGACCCAGGACCCTGGGGACTGAATGTCCCCTAAGTAGGAGCCAACCAGCTCACAGGCCGGCAAAGCCCCAGGCACACAGAAACCCCAGGCCTGGGTCAGGAGCCAGCAGAGAGCAGGTCAGAGAGAGAAGGAAACTGGAGAGGCCTGCTGCCCACTCCTCCGTGTCCTACCCCTGCTAACACCGGGGGCCAGGCAGGGGCAGCTGGCTTTACAATAACAATATTCAGCTGGAAAACCTGGAAAACTCTCTGCTTCATGGAGCCCTGAAGGCAGGATGAAATTACGTCACTGGAGGGGAAAAAAAAAAAAATCACAAGTTCTCTTTTGCAACAAGCTGATAAGCTAGCTGAATATCACTTTACAAAAGCTAGCAGAGGGGCACACAGTTACTTTTTGAGCTAGAAATCTCACATCTTTAGCACTCCAAACGTGGCATGAATCACCTGGACAGTTGTGCTCAATTCCTCCTGCGGGAAGCCAGCTGGACACAGTTCTCACCAACCCAGTTCTTCCAGCTGCCTTCTTCCTCGTACTGCTGAACTTGACATTGAAAGGCTTTGGTTCAGTCTCTCCAACACTGACCCAGCCCCGTTTCTTGTGACTACCCTGTAACCTTGCTGATGATCCTGCCTTTGCTCACATGGTCCCATCTCCTTGGGGTGCCTTCCTTTCCCTGGAAAGCCCATTTTCCCTTAGGCCTTATCTCTCTGTAACAGTTCCTCCAACCCTTTCAGGTCTCTCTGCCTCCCTTGCCTGTGCCTGTGCTGGTACCCCTGCCAGGAATGCCTCTTGACCTCCCCCATCAACGCAGCTCTTCATTTCAAGGCTACCACAGTCAGGATGCTTTGCTTACTGGCCTTGTTAAGGGGAAGGATGTCCTAAAGGAACTCTGCAGTTTTGTGGACTCCACCCCCTACTCCAGTCATTGGAAACTACAACTCCCAGCAGTACCAGGGAGAGCACTGCAAGGGCGGAGCTAAGCAGGTATTCTGGGGCTTTGGGGGAAAAATAGGGAGCCATTTTTCCAATGACGCTCTCTCGCTCCCATAACAGCAATGGCTCTCAGGACTGTGTATCTGGGGGCTTTCAGTATCTGGGGGCTTTCAGTTACTTTGTTACCGGAGCTCCAAGTCAGCTGAGCCCTAAGATATTCTAGTTAACTTCTATCTCTCTCTTTCCCTGGGTTGTTCCTTTTCCTTTCCCCTTTTATAAATAAACCCATTATTGACCCTTTTGTGTGTGCCTGCAGTACAACTAAATTTTAAGTGTGTGGGTGAGGACCCACAGACAGGCGGCCCAGTCCACATTGGGGCACCCTGTAATAGCCTCTGTCCAATAAATCATAAGTTTGCTTTGCTTAGTGAGAGGCATGTTGGCATTCTTGAAGTTTTAGACACGCCTTTGAATCTCTTCTCCTCTAAAAGGCTGTAAGGTTCTTTTCTGCTACTCTGTATGTCACTGAGGGGTCCTGGGCACACGATGACATCGTAACTAAGGAGCACTGTGACCTGGCTGAGCCACCACCTGCACAGCCATCGCTCCTTGAGACAGCTGCAGGTTCCCCCAAAGGGAACTGGTGGGGTGAGCTGGAAACCCCTGTCCATTCTGCTGTAAAGCAGGAAGTTGGACCTGGGGGCAGGAGCTGGGCCTGGCTTTGGAATCACGATTCCAGGACTGGGTCAGTGCTCAAGGGCATTGACTCTGGTGTTCCCCTGAGCATGCATGGTCCTCAAGTATCTGGAACCTCTGTCCCCAGAACAAAGACCTGAAAAGCCTCTGGCCAGGGAAGGCCCAAAGGTGCACTAGCCTTGAGATAAGCCTTGGGGGGCACCGACAAAGCACAACATAAAATGGGAGAAAAAGAGGTGAGGCTTTGGCAAATCAGAAATACTTTTAAGTGCTGGTTCTGAAGCCACATCACGGCTGGGCCAACAGAGCTTAGATTGCTGGCCTTCAGCAAGACGGGACAGCTGTTACTTCTGCCACACCATCATCTCTATGATTCTTAGTTATTTGTGTTTGTTCTTTTATTTCAAATAAGAGCACTTCAGATAAAGCAAGGCACTTGGTACATTTTGTTTATTTGTATTATAGATTTTTAGAGACCTGCAATTCTAGAAAAAAGTGGCATCTGTAGTGAGCTGTGAATAGTCTGTGGGCTGTGACATCCTCAAGTGTTTGTGGAACTGAGTAACTCAATCTGGGGGCTTAGGGTGGGTGGGGTGTGTGTGTGTGTGTATGCGTGGTCCTGTGATTATCTAGGCATGTAAGTCCTTGAGGACCCTGCCCTGTCACCAGCGACCCACTCTTATCCATTCTTCCAAGTATTAACCTAGCTGATTTGCCACCAGGACATGACAGACCTAAACTCTGAGATGTGCTGAAATATTAAACTCTCTGCATTTTTTTTTTTTGAGTGTTAGAAACAAAAGTGCTGTGCAGAGCAAGTTTAATATGATGAAAAATTCACTGAAGATCCTGTCCTTTAGAAACCTCATCATGCTCCCCTCTTTTCTGTAATACTTGGTCCGTCGTCCACCTGCCTTGTTTCTAGAACATTCACAGCTTGACATAATGACCAATGACATCAGCAATATCAGACCTACTCCTTTTTCCTCCTTCTTACTTTCCTACAGCCTTATCAGCCACACTCCAGTTTTGGAACACTCATCAAGTTCTCTTGGCTGCCAGCAGGACTGTTCATAATAATAAAGACCCACACAAAGAGCTTGAGCACAACTGGCACTTGGCAGTAAGTCCATGATTCACCTCCTCATTCAATTGACTTGACATAAGCTGGTGAGAATGGGACATTTTCTCTCTTTTTTTTTTAAAGGAAAATATAAGCAATGCCTTTAACTGAGACCAAATTAATGGAACCCAAAATTTCAACTTCACTAAAATGCAGTGGGTGGTGTCCTAGGCTTGGGATTTTAACACTGGGCATCGCTTTGGGATCTGGGACTACAGCCAGACTATAGTAGCTAGAGAAGGCTGAGTTCAGAGACGGGTGTGCTGCAGAGGAAGCTGCTCAGGCGGCTTGTGCCCACACTGCATTTCATTCAGCGAGCCTGGCAGAGAGCGTGTGTGCTGTGCTGGGCAGGGCCAGGCCTTCTAGGGCTCAAGCTCAGCTCCCAAAGGGCTCAGCGTGCTCACAGGTGTGTGTGTGAGGAGAGGAGGGCAGGTGCAAACACAGTGAGCAAGAAAATGGCAACAAGGTGACACGGGGGCTCGGGGGGGGGGGGGTGACTTAACACAGAGGGCTTCCAGGGAGAAATATAGTGTGGGATTTCCCCTAGACAGCTATCACAGCGAGGCAGGTGGGAAGAAGGGCAGATAGCAGAGGAGGTGCCTACTTCCACTCACCAAGGTCGTTGTTGTTCATCATGGCATTGGAGGCCCGCAGCCTGGGCCCCTGCTGGGTAAAGTGGTAGCCGAATTTGAGAAGCGTTGCATTTTTTTCCAACATGTTCACGATCTCCATTTCCACTTTGTTGCCCAGGGGCTGGCTCTTTGGTTAAGAGAAGAACAATAATCACTCATAGTTCCATTTGAGCAGGACCCAAATCATCTCACCCAGAAGCCCTGAGGGGTGGGTGTGGGCTTTAACCCGCCCCTCCAAGGGTATGGAAGTCAGGAGAAGGTGAGAATCGGCTTGGATTCAAACTTAGTTCTGCTGGACACTAAGACAGTTCTACTGCTCCATGAAAGCCTTACCAGTATGTCTGAGCAGGGAGGGATTTCAAACCACCTCATCCCAAGGAGATGTTAATGTCCTGCCTAGCTTATACCCGTGCTAATTAAATCAAAATGCAGGAGGTAAACTCAGCTGTCTGTGTTTTTACATCCCTCAGGTAATTCTAATATGCAGCCAGGTTTGACTAATAGTAGTTTAGACTAATCTCTTAAGCTTACAAATGGAGAAATCATTAAGGGTCAGAGAGGAAAAAGGCAATTCACTGAAGAGGATACAATTCACTGAAAAAGGCAATACACTGAAGAGTGTTAAATGCAAATATTGAACAAGATGTTCAACATCATTAGCTATTAAGGAAATGCAAGTCACAACCATGATGAGATCTTGCTGTATACTTATCAGGTCTGCTAAATAAAAAGTAGTGGCAACATCATGTTGGGGAGGATGCAGAAAAGCTGGTTCATTCCGTATTACTGGTGAGCATGTAGAAGGGCACAAAACTTGGAAGTTTCTTAAAAAACGAATCCCCCAGGGATTATATTCTCAGGCATTAGCCATACAACTAAAAACAGTGACACAAAAATTTGTACGTGAATGTTTATACAGCTATTTACAGTAGATTAATCCAGATGTTCTTCAGCAGGTGAGCAGTTAGGCAAACTTTTGTATCTAGACCATGGAATACTACTCAACAATGAAAAAGAACAAACTAGTGATATTGCCACCTAGATGACTCTCCAGAGAATTATACTAGATGATAAAAAAAACAGTGCCAAAAACTACATGTCATATTTCATTTCATTTCATAGTCTTGAAAAAACTATTAAAATACAGAATAGATTATTGGCTGGCATGGCTTAAGGAAGGAGCAAGGCCATGAGGGAAGTGAGTTTGGCTTTAACAGGGGAATAAGAAAAATCCTTGTGGTGATGGAAACCATCTGTTTCTTGACTGCATCCATATCACTCTCCTGGTTGTGACATTGTCTATCATATTGCAAGATGTTACCATAGAGGGAAACTTTTGTAAAGACACAGGGACCTCTTTATATGTCTTACAACTATATAGGAACCTACATTATCCCCAAACAAACAAAAATCAACAACAATGAAATAAAAAAGCCAAATAAAGCAAAACAAAACAACTCCTCACTCCTCTACAGAGACCTCGCATGGCTGCTAACCACTTCCACTGCCAATAATGTGCTTTACTGAGCATATCATGTTCCTGATGCCTTGAGTCTAACTTGTAGTATCTCAGTTCATTCCCTTAACAACACAACAGGATAAAACCCCATCTTCTCAGCCTGACAGTCAAAGTCCTGCATAAACTTGCCCTTATGTTCCCTTCTTCTCTCAGTCCTCACACAGCCGGCTCACCTGCAAGTGCCTGGTTCACAGTGCTGTGCAGAGGTCTACTCTTAAAGCCCATGTGCTTGCCTGTCAGCAGGCCCTGACCCTCCTGTACCCACCTGTTGATGTATCCCTAGTACTTTAATACCCATCACAATTTACACCTCTCCCATCAAGACACCCCGATCCCTCCTTCTGTAAGTGATCTTCCCCCACCCCACACTCAAGTGGCACATTGTAAATCCCTCTCTGCTCCCAGCCAGGCCTGCTTATTTAGGTCACCTACCTTCATGTCTGCCTCTACAACTGAACCTGCACTGTCAGCATAGTAGCTACTAGCCACATGAATGTTTTTAACTTTATTTTTTTAATGATTTATTTATTTATACAGAACTGGGGTACAGGCCAGAAGTTCAGGGGCAGTGAGAGGATTCACCAGAGACAGAGGGGGGAGCAGAACAGGCAGATCGAGGAAGTACACTGCTGAGGGGAGCAGCGGGTGGGTCAGGAAAGGTCTGCTGCACCATGTGGGTCACCTCCAGGGCGGAGATGGAACTCACTTTGAAGCGACTGAGGCTAGTTTGCAGTGCTTTGTCTTAACCCATTGTATCACCAGAGAGGGCCCCTGTTTTTAACTATAAACAGTTATAATTGAATAAAATAAAAACTGCAGTTCCTCAGTTGCACCAACTGCACTTCAACTGTACACTAACCATTGGCTAGTGGCTACCATACTGGTCAGTGCAGATATAGAATGTTTTCATAACAGTAAGTCCTGCTGGGTGGTGCTGCGCCAGGCTTGGGCCCTTCGATGGTACTCCGTATCTCTAGGTCAAGGTGAATTGAATTGCATGGGTGGGGGAGGGAATAAGTGTGTGCCGATATGCAGCGACCTGTGATGGCTAAGAAGACACATCAGCCAAGCATCCAATGGGCAAGCATGGAACCACACTTGATTCTCTTAACTGAGAATTCCTCCAGGTATTGAGTTCACTAGGGCTGATCTGGGGTCAAACAAGGCTGGGGAAGCCGACTATGGCAGGCACCAGGACGTTTGTGAAATTCCACTAGGGCATCTGGCAAGGCTCCTGAAAGTGCTGGGAAGAACTCAGGCCTGTCCTCAGAGGACTCAGCTCAGCCCTGGGCCTGACTGGCTTGGCCCAGCTGTGACAATACAGAGACTATCTGAGGCCCCAGGAAGGAACTGGCAGATCCCTTGCTCACCCCATTTAATACAAAGTCTGGCCTCTGCTAGAGGTCACCTGTGGGAAATCTCAGCTAGTGCTCAAGATGGGCGAGGGCCAGAAAACACTGGTGTCTCCTGAGTGCAGGGGTTGTGGTGCTGCTTTGCAATGCTGCCACTCCATGCCCCTCAGATGCCCTGAAGCAAACAGCATCTCGGTGTCCTGCCACAGGGTGTCCCGATGCAAACAGCCCCCGTGCAACCTCCTTACCTCCCTGGGAGGTGGGCAGGACAGACAGAACTGTCTCATGGTAGAGGTGAATAAATGAGTGGGAACTGGACCATGCTCCCTGCACTTAATTAGTGACAGAACCAAGGCCTGACCTTGGCTTGGGGGTAGAAGGACTTTAGAGAATCATATTCTCAAATGAGTGTCCCATACCCCTGGGATACATGCAGGTGCATCTAGATGTGTACGACATAAGAAAACCAAGACCAATCTTCCTGGACTAAACCATGACTTTTTACTTTAAGTAGTAAAATAGAGTGCACATACATCTGAAATCTCAAGCTTGAAAGCAGCTTCAGATTCACTTCATTTTCAGGCCCTCTGCCTTTCTCAGGGACTCCGAGTGTGATGGCATCTACCATTTCACGGATGAGAAGAAGCTGTGGGGACAGCGTGAGGACTAAATCTCCGGTCTCTTAATTATTTGTCAAATACTTTCTATGCAGTGATGATTGTGCAGTAGGCAGTGTCATAACATGTCTCAAGGGCTGACTTGTTTCCTCGCTGACTATTTCCTCTGGAATAGGTACTATTCTTACACCTTTCATCTTTTTAAAAAAAATTATAATAGTTTACTTTTACATATTTTTGTGCATTTTTCCATCTCATTGGCAGTCCCCTTGGGTTTCCCATCACCAAATCACCCATGTGCCATCACCACAATCCAGTGCAGTTCCCTCCCCCCACTGTTTTTGATCCCATTCCCCACCCTGCCCCTACAAAATGTCTCTGGTATATAGCTGTTCATCATTATCATTATTTTCTTGCCTGTTCCATTATATTCCTGCTATGAGAGAAACCTTCCATATTTTTCTTTTTCTTTCTGGCTTATTTCACTAAGCATGATCTTTTCCAGTTCCATCCATGGTGCTGCAAAAATATCTTTCATCTTACTGGTGAGGGACTTGAGGAGCCGAAGCATTGCCAAGCTTCTCCCAAATCACCGTCAGGTGCGGAACAAGGATTTGAGCCCAAGCCTCTGGGATTGCTAGGAAGTGGGCCAATGAGAGGGGCTATGGGACAGATGGGCTGGGCTGAGCATGGCAGCGGGCAGAGCAGGAAAAGCCAGCCAGCAGCAGTGTCTGCGCAGGCAAGGATCTGCCTGGTAATGCGGTGGGCTCTCCCTGCAGGGGAGGGGTGGGAGGCGTGTCTCCCCAGGTCTTCCACATGGCATCACCAAAGGGGAAGGCTCGGGTGCTGTGACCTTTCAGGTTTCTGGGGCGGCATTCTGTGTATCTAAGAATAGCCTGTGTGAATGGCATAAAAAGGTCAGGTGGGTGACCTGGACAGTGGGTGAAGGCAATTAGGATGCCCCTGGAGAGTGAGCCAAGAGCTGTCATGCCAGGACTAGCAGCTGCAGAGCCAGGGAAGGGCGGCAGGGAAAGAACTCTTGTGCCCCTTCGGATTTGCTTAGAAGAAGCCCACGTGGCAAGGGGCTGAGGTCTCCTACAACTGCTCCATTTGAGAAGTAGCTCCCTACCCTCAGCCAGCCCTTGCGCTGCCATGTTAATTAGACCCACTTGGTGGGGAAGGGGAGGGTGGGGAGGACTGACCATCCAGAGGCAGATTCTAGTTCATTCAGAGAACTTTTGCCATCCTGCTTTTTCCAGTCTCCCCTCCCTTCCTCTCTTTTTTTAAAATTTAAGTATAACTTACACATAGCAAAGCAAATATATCCCAAGTGGCCAGCTGAATCCAAGCATACATATGAACTCCTTGGCAGTCACCATCAAGATCAAACCATAGACCATTCCATCCCTCCTCCCCACCCCCAAGCTGGTTCCCTCCGTGGCCAGGGCCACCCATCTGCTCTTGGAGTCCAGGCGCTCAGAAACTGGGAGGCTATCCATGGTTATTGTTTCAAGCTGCTCAATTTTGGGAGTAGTTGTTACACAGCTATAGAAAACTGACACACTCCCAGCTAATGAACAGAAAAAGTCAGACAGAACATATATGTGATTCTACGTATATGAAGTACAAGAACAGGCAC